TATTTGCTACAGATATTTGCATGCTTCGATTTAGTGCAAAGATTCTCAACAGTACCAAACCATCATTACATACACTGGATCAGGAGTTTACTGTATCACCAATCAAGTTACTTTATTATTTTTGACAGTCAGTCTTTGTTGTCGAGTTACATATAAGCACAATATCAAATGCTCATATTTGGCTGTCGATCCCTTATATGGGTCCCAAAAGATAATCAACGATCAAAAACTCCTCGACCAATCAGATTCATTAAGAGAGAAGAGAGCCCCGGTGGTTTCTGTTGTCATTCCATCCTCACTGGTTAAACCTACCCACACTCAATATCCACTTGGAGCAAGCTTGTAGTGTAAAATCAATTGTATGGACATTATAATGACCCATGTTTGTAGTCCTGGACCTGCTGAACATGTTGATGTACAGAGTAAACAAATCTGCAGGACCTGAAAGGAAAGGGGGAGTAAACAGGGTGAAGATAGTCCTGTGTTGCTATTGAATATGCTTCTGGATAGATTCCGTTTGTCTGATTACTTTCAGGTTAACGAAGTGATTGAGCAGACATGTGTCCCTTCCTATAAAAGAAGAGCACATGGTGTGCTCTGGGTGCAAGCCGGATCAGGGAGAGGTCACTGCTGGACTCCAAGCTGCCACGCTGTTAACTGTAAAGGTTGAGTTTTTAGTGAATTGTTGGATTTTTATCAACTAAGAGTACAGTAAAGACTGTGGTTGTTTGTTTCCTTTGTGTGACAGCTTGGAGGCCAACAAAGTATAATGCACAAGCGGTTATTGAATTGTTTAGATGTATTATAAGCTGTCTGTACATTTGAAGGGGAAGGCTAATATTTGACATTGAGCTTTACTTTCTGTAGTTATTGTAGTTGCCTGGTTGCCAGGTTTGCTGTGTTCAGCTAAACGAACTGAGTGCTGTGTGATATCTATCCATTGAATCTATCCATTGTGTACCTAACCTAAATAAAAACCTGCAACTTAAGTGCATTAAAGGGATAGTTCACTCAAATTGCAAAATGACATATTGGTTTCCTAACCCTATAAGCAGTCTATGGACAAGGTAGGACAGCCACCCATGCTTTGGTTTATTATTCCTGGCACTGTTTCCAAATGCTAATGTTTGACCATGACTTGAATGGGATTTGTGCCACATATGCAAAAACGTTAGCAATTGGTTAGCAATTGGAAACCAAAGCATAGATTGCTGTTATACCTTGTACATATACTGATTACAGGGTAAGGAAACCAATGTATCATTTTGTAATTTGGGTGAACAATCCCTTTAAGTAAGCTCCTGAATTTAGGAATTTGTATACAGCCTTTCATGCTTATCCACTCTTGAGTCGATGCAACTTTTTATAATCTTGTAATAAACTTATAAACATTTTTGTAATTCCGTGTCTGATCTGTTTCCACGACCATGTATCCAGTTGAAGTCTTCATTGACTCTGTCCTATCCAACAATAATCTGTTTGTTAAAGGAGTTCTGAAAACGCCCTGAATTTGCATGATATTAATATGTCAACAGCTACCCTTTTTTTTCCATTTTCCCTCTATAGATATTCCTGGTATGATAGTTCCCTGTCCATCATCACAAATACAGTGGGGGAAAAAAGTATTTAGTCAGCCACCAATTGTGCAAGTTCTCCCACTTAAAAAGATGAGAGAGGCCTGTAATTTTCATCATAGGTACACGTCAACTATGACAGACAAAATGAGAATTTATTTTCCAGAAAATCACATTGTAGGATTTTTTATGAATTTATTTGCAAATTATGGTGGAAAATAAGTATTTGGTCAATAACAAAAGTTTCTCAATACTTTGTTATATACCCTTTGTTGGCAATGACACAGGTCAAACGTTTTCTGTAAGTCTTCACAAGGTTTTCACACACTGTTGCTGGTATTTTGGCCCATTCCTCCATGCAGATCTCCTCTAGAGCAGTGATGTTTTGGGGCTGTCGCTGGGCAACACGGACTTTCAACTCCCTCCAAAGATTTTCTATGGGGTTGAGATCTGGAGACTGGCTAGGCCACTCCAGGACCTTGAAATGCTTCTTACGAAGCCACTCCTTCGTTGCCTGGGCGGTGTGTTTGGGATCATTGTCATGCTGAAAGACCCAGCCACGTTTCATCTTCAATGCCCTTGCTGATGGAAGGAGGTTTTCACTCAAAATCTCACGATACATGGCCCCATTCATTCTTTCCTTTACACGGATCAGTCGTCCTGGTCCCTTTGCAGAAAAACAGCCCCAAAGCATGATGTTTCCACCCCCATGCTCCACAGTAGGTATGGTGTTCTTTGGATGCAACTCAGCATTCTTTGTCCTCCAAACACGACGAGTTGAGTTTTTACCAAAAAGTTCTATTTTGGTTTCATCTGACCATATGACATTCTCCCAATCCTCTTCTGGATCATCCAAATGCACTCTAGCAAACTTCAGACGGGCCTGGACATGTACTGGCTTAAGCAGGGGGACACGTCTGGCACTGCAGGATTTGAGTCCCTGGCGGCGTAGTGTGTTACTGATGGTAGGATTTGTTACTTTGGTCCCAGCTCTCTGCAGGTCATTCACTAGGTCCCCCCATGTGGTTCTGGGATTTTTGCTCACCGTTCTTGTGATCATTTTGACCCCACAGGGTGAGATCTTGCGTGGAGCCCCAGATCGAGGGAGATTATCAGTGGTCTTGTATGTCTTCCATTTCCTAATAATTGCTCCCACAGTTGATTTCTTCAAACCAAGCTGCTTACCTATTGCAGATTCAGTCTTCCCAGCCGGGTGCAGATCTACAATTTTGTTTCTGGTGTCCTTTGACAGCTCTTTGGTCTTGGCCATAGTGGAGTTTGGAGTGTGACTGTTTGAGGTTGTGGACAGGTGTCTTTTATACTGATAACAAGTTCAAACAGGTGCCATTAATACAGGTAACGAGTGGAGGACAGAGGAGCCTCTTAAAGAAGAAGTTACAGGTCTGTGAGAGCCAGAAATCTTGCTTGTTTGTAGGTGACCAAATACTTATTTTCCACCATAATTTGCAAATAAATTCATAAAAAAATCCTACAATGTGATTTTCTGGATTTTTTTTACTCCAATTTGTCTGTCATAGTTGACGTGTATCTATGATGAAAATTACAGGCCTCTCTAATCTTTTTAAGTGGGAGAACTTGCACAATTGGTGGCTGACTAAATACTTTTTTACCCCACTGCAGCATACAGAGATAGTGGTAACCATGGAGATGTCTGGGGACATTGTTTATACCAATGAAGATGTTTTAGGGGAACCGTTTGGAGTTGACAACCGTAACTATGTCTTTGAAGAGTCCATGTGTGAAACTCCAGATACTTCTCCTTACTACCAGACTGGGAATGAAGTGATCCCAAGAAGCACACTCCAACCTGGACTCTCAGGTAAGACACACACACACACACACACACACACACACACGTTCCATCCTTTTATCCCTTACGTTATATCCAGACAGTTCATATTATTGTAGTTAATATAAAGTCCTTCTCTGGTCAGGTTATGATAGCTCATGGAATAGACCCTTCCTAGTTGCTGCAGTGTGTCTGGGGCTGCTGTGTGTTCTCCTACTGGCTGGGATCATTAGCTTGTCAGTCTCCTGTAAGTTTGACAAGTACAATTATGCTTATCATTTATTTCTGGGTAACAAGTAGGAAATGGTTTCGAAAGCAACCATTGCTTTATCCATTTCAGATCAATTACACGGCGCTTGTAACGCCAAAGTGGGTTCGATCCCCGGGACCACCCATACACAAAAAATGTATGCACGCATGACTGTAAGTCGCTTTGGATAAAAGCATCTGCTAAATGGCATATTATTATATTATTATCAAGTTCAAATAGCCATAGACAGACAAAGACAATCTTAAGAATTTGCCGTTTGGAGTCCAAATTTGAGATTTTTGGTTCCAACCGCCGTGTCTTTGTGAGACGCGATGTGGGTGAACGGATGATCTCCACGTGTGTATTTCCCACCGTAAAGCATGGAGGAGGAGGTGTTATGGTGTGTGGGTGCTTTGCTGGTGACACTGTCTGTGATTTATTTAGAATTCAAGGCACACTTAACCAGCATGGCTGCCACAGCATTCTGCAGCGATACGTCATCCCATCTGGTTTGCGCTTAGTGGGACTATCGTTTGTTTTTCAACAGGACAATGACCCAACACACCTCCAGGCTGTGTAAGGGCTATTTGTCCAAGAAGGAGAGTGATGGAGTGATGCATCAGATGACCTGGCCTCCACAATCCCCCGACCTCAACCAAATTGAGATGATTTGGGATGAGTCGGGCCGCAGAGTGAAGGAAAAGCAGCCGACAAGTGCTCAGCATTTGGGAACTCCTTCAAGACTGTTGGAAAAGCATTCCAGGTGAAGCTGGTTGAGAGAATGCCAAGAGTGTGCAAAGCTGCCATCAAGGCAAGGGTGGCTATTTGATTTGTTTAACACTTTTTTGGTTACTACATGATTCCATATGTGTTATTTCATAGTTTTGATGTATTCACTATTATTCTACAATGTAGAAAATAGTAAAAATGAAGAAAAACCCTTGAATGAGTAGGTGTTCAAAAACTTTTGACCGGTAGTGTATATTTTTGGAACTTTCATTCAAATTGCAACTGATCAGAAATATAGGCTACATCATCATATGATCAAATTGGTTGAGGGTTCAGAAGAGGGTGAGTAAAGAGAAAAACGTGAATGTGCGTGTAAAATAACATATGAGCAGAACGTGATTCTGATCCTTAGATTTGAGAAAAAAACTTTCAGAGGGGTAGGACAGGGGCGGGGGCAAAAACTCCATATTCGTAGCATCGCACTAAATAATAATATTTCTAACAGAATGAAATTGTCTGATTGCATTGCAATATGTTGTGTTGTCAAAGTTCCATTAACAGCGAAAACCTGTACGGAAGGATGGCAGATGTTTGGCTGCAGCTGTTACTACATCTCTACTGAGGTGAACACTTGGTATTACGCCAGACAGGACTGTCTGAAGAGAGGAGCAGACCTGGTGATCATAAACAGCAAAGATGAACAGGTAAGAGAGAGAAAACAAAGAAGGAGAGAGAGAGAGAGAGAGAGAGAGGAGGAGAGAGAGATAGACGAGATAGAGAGAGTAGAGAGAGAGAGAGAGAGTGGAGGGGAGAGCGACGATAGAAGAGAAGATCGAGTAGAATGAGACTCGAAGAGAGGAGACGAGATGCTCGAGTATTTGAGGGAAACATATGTTATTAAATCAATTTGAAACCACAATTGAAAGCTTCCAAGACCTCAGATGACAAGAAGCTTCCCGTTCTGTTGGGGGAGGACGCAGAGAACTGTGGGTTGGCAGTGCACTACATTGCTGCCTGCCATAAGATCAACCAACCAACCTGCACTTGTCTGCAATGCCATTGTGTTGTTATTGTTAACGCTATTGTCCATTGTATGTTTATTTTCTTGCTGATTGCCATTTCTAATACAACCCCACCCCCCCCACCCTTGGTTATTGTTTCTACTGATTGTCATGTTTCGTTTACAATCTAGATTATGTTTTTATGATGTTAATATTGTCAATGAATCATTCCATTTCCAAAGTATGCTTTGGCAATATGTACATTTTATTGTCATGCCAATAAAGCAATAATAATTTTTGTAAGAGACAGAGAGCGAGACAGAGAGAACGAGAGCAACATAGACAGAGATACAGAGGGAGAGGGGGAGAGAGAGAGGGAGGGAGGGAAGGAAGGAGTGATAGATGGATATGATCAATCTTCATTATATACTATTTTTGTTATATATCTTTTTCAACAAAGGTATTTCTCACTACATTTGATCAATGGATCTGGATTGGTCTGACTGACAGAGAGACACAGGGAACTTGGAAATGGGTGGACGGCACACCACTGACCAAAGCGTAATATTTATAACTACTCTTATAAAAAGGCTCTGAACAATTAAAGTGGAAAAACATCTGGATATTTTCCAGGGTTATGTTTTTACCACAAGGTTTAACTGTATCACTGGTGTTTACCCTGTAGGTACTGGTGGTGGTCAAAACCTGATTCTGCTGCTGGAGAGAAGGACTGTGCTATGATATATGGAGGTGTACAAAATATCCCTCTACATGCATGGAATGACTTTGGGTGTGACTCGAAATTCGAATGGATTTGTGAGAAGGTGTTTTTTTCTTAATAATAACATAACAGCATTGTGTACTCTCAAACATACACACACACACTCTCCTTAAACTTGTATTGACATATTATACATGTGATATAGTCACAATAAAGTTTATTATCAGTTTTATAGAAGCATCTAGTGGTCATTATACAACTGTAGGTTGTAACTGACTGCGCAATCCACTCTCATCAGCCCAGCCAGGCTGTTTATTAACTTGATCTCCACTATAAAAAGCATCTAGACATTATCTCACATTTCAACAGCGGAGATTTGTATAAACCTTGCTGTCTGTCTCTGACATTTGCAACATTGTTTCAATATTCAAATTCGATCTCCAGCTGTCCCATAGCAATGAACGTGTAGGGAGTCGGGACGAGACAGACAGGCAGTGCAGCTAGTTTGCAGTCTTTCCAGCTTCCGTTGAAAGTGATTGTGTTAGCTGTGTTGTTGGCTAGCTCCTCTGGACAACAGTGTCCTGACGAGAGAGCACATTTTCTATGCCAGGCCAAATCACACCTCATTAGCTCATTGTTATGGATGTATCCAAATAAAATGTCTATAGAAAACAGCTTAAACAAATGCAAATGCAGCTACTGTTGTTATTCTGGCTGCACAGTTTGACGTGACTGTACGTTAGTCGTAGTTGGGTAGCTAGCAAGGAAGGGATACGAACGTTGTCAGCCAGTATGGCAATGAAACATTTAGAACGAACGACTGGGTCGCGTCCATAGATACAGAACAAAAAGACTGAATGACTGGGTCGCGTCTATAGATACAGAACAAAAAGACTGAACGACTGGGTCGCGTCTATAGATACAGAACAAAAAGACTGAACGACTGGGTCGCGTCTATAGATACAGAACAAAAAGACTGAACGACTGGGTCGCGTCTATAGATACAGAACAAATAGACTGAACGACTGGGTCGCGTCTATAGATACAGAACAAAAAGACAACGACTGGGTCGCGTCTATAGATACAGAACAAAAAGACTGAATGACTGGGTCGCGTCTATAGATACAGAACAAAAAGACTGAACAACTGGGTCGCGTCTATAGATACAGAACAAAAAGACTGAACGACTGGGTCGCGTCTATAGATACAGAACAAAAAGACTGAATGACTGGGTCGCGTCTATAGATACAGAACAAAAAGACTGAACGACTGGGTCACGTCTCTAGCAACCGAACCAATACAACGAACGACCAGCTGGCTTGGGTAGCAACCCTAGATTTGTGTCGGGACTATATCTTGTGGAAGGATGAAATAATATGAAGAAATTAATCAAAAAATTTTAAGAAAATATGTCAATCATTATTTTAATATGTTGGTAACCCGTTGTATAAAAGTGATAATGCCCTGGCATAGATAAATAAAGGGGAATGCCCATTACTCATATTTAAGTGATAATGCCCGAGAAGCCATATACTGGCACCTGTGCCGGTGTTTGGAGGATATATTGGCACCTGTGCCGGTGTTTGGAGGATATATTGGCACCTGTGCCAATATATCCTCCAAACAATGGCTTCTCGGGCATTATCACTTAAATATGAGTAATGGGCATTCCCCTTTATGTATCTATGCCAGGGCTGGCCAACCCTGTTCCTGGAGAGCTATTCCTTCCTGTAGGTTTTCGTTTCAACCCCAGTTGTAACTAAACTGATTCAGTTAATCAACCAGCTAATTATTAGAATCAGGTGTACTAGATAGGGTTGGAGCGAAAACCTATAGGACAGTAGCTAGCCAGACAGTTTTAGAGGAATGATTCCATTAATTTTTTCAAAATAACTGCCAATATGCCAACATTTCATTCAAACAATGCAGTCAATCCACAGCCATACACTGGCTCAAATCAGTTGATGATAGGACTTAGACAAGTTGTAAATGCAACAAGTTCCAATATTGTATGATATAATAGCACTCACAGCTTTCCAAGAAAACAAAATCTGATACATCTATGGTCTGTTTACATATATTTTAGAGGCTATTTATACAGAACATTTGTATAAAGCCCGTATTAAATGTATATAGTAGACTCTTTATATGCCCGCTTATAATGGTCTTTGTATGTGTCCAAAATGGTGCCCTCTCACCTAATTAGTGCACTACTTTTGACCAGAGCCCTATGGGCCCTGGTCAGCGAAATAGTACCCTATCCCCTAGTGCACTACTTTTGACCAGACAAGTAGAATAACACACAAATATACCAGGGAAGAATATACAGTGGAGAAAAAAAGTATTTAGTCAGCCACCAATTGTGCAAGTTCTCCCACTTAAAAAGATGAGAGAGGCCTGTAATTTTCATCATACGTACACGTCAACTATGACAGACAAAATGAGAAAAAGAAATCCAGAAAATCACATTGTAGGATTTTTTATGAATTTATTTGCAAATTATGGTGGAAAATAAGTATTTGGTCAATAACAAAAGTTTCTCAAAACTTTGTTATATACCCTTTGTTGGCAATGACACAGGTCAAATGTTTTCTGTAAGTCTTCACAAGGTTTTCACACACTGTTGCTGGTATTTTGGCCCATTCCTCCATGCAGATCTCCTCTAGAGCAGTGATGTTTTGGGGCTGTCGCTGGGCAACACGGACTTTCAACTCCCTCCAAAGATTTTCTATGGGGTTGAGATCTGGAGACTGGCTAGGCCACTCCAGGACCTTGAAATTCTTCTTACGAAGCCACTCCTTCGTTGCCCGGGCGGTGTGTTTGGGATCATTGTCATGCTGAAAGGCCCAGCCACGTTTCATCTTCAATGCCCTTGCTGATGGAAGGAGGTTTTCACTCAAAATCTCACGATACATGGCCCCATTCATTATTTCCTTTACACGGATCAGTCGTCTTGGTCCCTTTGCAGAAAAACAGCCCCAAAGCATGACGTTTCCACCCCCATGCTTCACAGTAGGTGTGGTAATTCTTTGGATGCAACACAGCATTCTTTGTCCTCCAAACACGACGAGTTGAGTTTTTACCAAAAAGTTATATTTTGGTTTCATCTGACCATATGACATTCTCCCAATCCTCTTCTGGATCATCCAAATGCACTCTAGCAAACTTCAAACGGACCTGGACATGTACTGGCTTAAGCAGGGGGACACGTCTGGCACTGCAGGATTTGAGTCCCTGGCGGCGTAGTGTGTTACTGATGGTAGGCTTTGTTACTTTGGTCCCAGCTCTCTGCAGGTCATTCACTAGGTCCCCCCGTGTGGTTCTGGGATTTTTGCTCACCGTTCTTGTGATCATTTTGACCCCACGGGGTGAGATCTTGCGTGGAGCCCCAGATCGAGGGAGATTATCAGTGGTCTTGTATGTCTTCCATTTCCTAATAATTGCTCCCACAGTTGATTTCTTCAAACCAAGCTGCTTACCTATTGCAGATTCAGTCTTCCCAGCCTGGTGCAGGTCTACAATTTTGTTTCTGGTGTCCTTTGACAGCTCTTTGGTCTTGGCCATAGTGGAGTTTGGAGTGTGACTGTTTGAGGTTGTGGACAGGTGTCTTTTATACTGATAACAAGTTGAAACAGGTGCCATTAATACATGTAACGAGTGGAGGACAGAGGAGCCTCTTAAAGAAGAAGTTACAGGTCTGTCAGAGACAGAAATCTTGCTTGTTTGTAGGTGACCAAATACTTATTTTCCACCATAATTTGCAAATAAATTCATTAAAAATCCTACAATGTGATTTTCTGGAAAAAAAATTCTCAATTTGACTGTCATAGTTGACGTGTACCTATGATGAAAATTACAGGCCTCTCTCATCTTTTTAAGTGGGAGAACTTGCACAATTGGTGGCTGACTAAATACATTTTTTCCCCCACTGTACCTGACACAGTAATGAATCACATAAATGAGAGAAATCGGACAAAAAGTGACACACTTGACTGCTTTAATTTTGACTTAAAAGCCACAAACAAATCCTAGGCCTATATCAAGTTTAGTCAAAAACAAATTAACTAGTTAAAGATAATTTCTTCAGTCACCCTATTTATTTATAAAATAAAACTATCGTATCCATCTCTTGTAGGTTATACTTCCAGTGGGAACAGTGCAGCTATGATTTTGATTTCACAATGCAACCATCCTGTATGTTCTCATACAAATCTTGCATAAAGAAAAAAAACATTTATTTCAATCCACTTATTTCAATCTACTGTGCCACGACCAAACACCATACAAAAAAATCTCCATTCACTAGCAATATTGACCTTACTCACTCCGCAGCCATTGTTCATTGACCAAGGTAAATTTTTTTATGTTCAATTTTATAGGGTATACATATTCGATTACATGTTGTATAGGCCAACGTTTGATTTGGGACACTCAGAAGAACTTGGATAGAGCATTGTCATGTGCTCTGATTTTAACAGACACAACCGTTTTATTAGCTACCACACTAGCCATCTATGGTAGAACATTCATCTGTTAACAAGGTCTAGAGAACCTTCTTTTCACTTATAGTTGAAATGTAAATTACTATAAATTATTATAAAAACGGTAGACAACACCATGGGGGGGAAAAAACACAGCTTATCTATCCTACATCATGTCTAATTTAATATCAACAGTATTGATATAAAGGAATAACAAACAATATACTTCTTATGCAATAACATGGGTCAAATTAACAACCCACTCCCCTGGCACACACACACTCCTCCCCACACCCACCCACACACACTCCTCCCCACACCCACCCACACACACTCCTCCCCACACCCACACTCCTCCCCCCCCACACACACACACTCCTCCCTGCCCACGCAACCACCCACACACACATTCCTCCCCGCCCACATTATATATCGTTCTCCATGTGAATCCTCTGGTGCCTCTTGAGGTTGCACTTCTGTGTGAAGCGTTTGCCGCAGTCCGAGCAGCTGTAGGGTCTCTCCCCAGTGTGAACGCGCCTGTGGGCCTTCAGGTTGCTCAGCTTGGTGAAGCTCCGGCCACACAGGGCGCAGACGAACGGCCTCTCCCCTGTGTGGGTCTGCTCGTGGGCCTTCAGGCTGCTGGGATGGGGGAAGACCTTACCACACACTGGGCAGCGGAGGGCCATCCTCCCAGGGTGGTGATGCTGGTGGTGGTTGTTCCCTTGTTGTTGGGTTGGGGTTTGGGAGGGAGTGAGCCCTCCCTGGGCGGTGCCCCTGTTGTACATGATGTAGCCGCCCCGCTTGGCAGCGTCCCTATATACTCTCATGCGCGGCAGAGCTTGAGGGCTGGGCTTATATTTGGAAGGAATCCTGTAGTTTAGAGAGCTGAAGACATGAGAGCCTGATGATGAGGAGGAGGAGACAGAGGCCCCCGCTGTGCTGGGATTGGCTGGGGGAGCTAAATCTCTAGCTTGCTGCTTTGCCTCTGCAGATTCAGAGGACGACAGAGGCTCTCTTACCAGTCGCAGGTTCGACTGAGCTCGTCTGTGAACGTCAGTATCTGTGTCTAATATCCTATGGCTTATCCACACCGGTGAGGCTCTACTCCTTGTTCCGTCACCGTCATTGCTGGGTCCTCTGCTCTGGTTCTGAGATGGTCCTGCTGGTCTGGGTGTCTGGGTGACATGTTGGGCCTCTGGGTCCGCAGAGAGAAACCCAATAGAGTCTCCTGTACTCTGACCGAGTGTGTGTGAGTCCCGCTGCTCCTCTGTGTAGGTGTGAGCTGCAGACGGCTGTATGTCCACCTTCATTCTCCACGGCTCCATGTCCTCCTCCCCTTCCTCCTCCTCCTTAACACTGCCTACCAGCGAAGGACTGGGAGCTGGAGGAGTGGGAGGAGTTGGTTTAGCTGCTACCTGTGACGACTCCACTGTTTCCTGTCCACAGCTTCTCCACCTGACCTCTGGCTCCTCCTCCTGCTTCAGGTCACACCCACTCAGCAGAAGCACACCTGGGGAGACAGGTGACAACCAGTGAAACTACAGGGCCATGTTCAGTAAGAACACTTTGTAGAACGTTGCAGATAGAAATGACTAAATGACTTGAACTGACGTGATTCCTAATTCTATATACCAGAGAGGTATGTTTGTTCTATATCATATATTTCTATCTGAACGCTGGCCAACATTGTGTCCTGCTGAACCAGGCCCAGGAGAGACATTCAACTAGTGTGCCGTTGTATTCATTAGTGGCACACCGTAGCAAAACAGAAGTTGTAGTTCATGGCATGGCTCTCTGCTGCCCTACTAAAAAAGAATTAACTACAACTTCCGTTTGAAAACTAAATGGAACTCGAGAGCTTTTACCTTATGTCACAGAGCGTTTGGAGTAAACGGACGGTGTGCCACTAATGAAAGCACTACCAATGAGACAACAGCATAACACACACCCCCTGAACTCAAAGTGTCATGTCTCAATAGGCTAATTAGTTATATTGCTGTGGTTTGGACCAACCTTAGGCTGGGAAAGAACAGTGGTAGATGAGCATAGCTATTTATAAACTGTCATAGAGAGAACTAACTCATTTTGGAGACACCTACACAGTCACCATTCAACCCTTGGTTATACCTAAAAGTATTTTATGACTCAAAGGAAGCCCCCACTTACTGTTCTGCATTCCTGGAGGTCTGTCGTCTGTTTCCTCATTGTAGACATCTGTCCTGCCACAGTCTGCACACCTGGCCATCTGGCTGCCATTCTTCAGCTGACTCTCTGCCTGCTGCAGCAGCGTCCGCAGAGACTCCACTTCCTGGTGGCTCCGTGTCACTTCCTGTTGACCACGTCTTACCTCCTCCAGGAAGCCATCCTCCACCAGTCTGGTGATCTCATACATGGCTGACTTTAGGACCGTCTCCATGACTCCCGAGAGCTGGGCCTGGAAGGTGAGGACGAGATTCTCCGACATACTGCTTGTGTGTATCTTTTTCACAGATCAATTCACAGTGGGATCTGCACCAAGCATCTGTCTTTGTGGGAGCAAGTCAGGACTGTGTTTGTGTGTGATCCTAAAGTGAATCTCTTCAAAGAGCCCTATTATTCAGAATAAGTGGGTAGAAATATGCCATGTCCATCACTGACTCATCACTGATCTGTTTCTCTGACCAATAAGAGTGACAGCTCCTCCAGCTAGCTAGCTAACTAACAACCAAGTGGTGAAGACCGTCCAGCGTAGAAGAGTGCAACAAACGTTCAATAAAACGGTCACATCGTAAAATTCGACAAGGTAACAGACAACGTATCAGACAAAGATGGGTTCGTATCCAACTTGCTAAAAAAAATTGCTAGCTAACATACTACTGGAACTAGCCTTGTTACAAGTCAATAATGGGATATTTTGCAACATAAAGTACTAGTGATTAAAAACGTTATTACCAAAAGGCTGACTTTACTTCATGAACATGGGGTAGTTGTTTCCAGATATTCGTTTTAATTGAAGAAATAGAAAACACATGCTAATCGAGGACAGATTCCGGAAATGCGATTGTTTTCAATCGCAAGTCACCCTTCTGCTCTACGGTGGCCCTGTGTGATCAACGTGCGCGCGGTAAGGGAACGTTTCAAGAAACGCGTTAATAGTACAAGTGAAACCTTTCGTTTGCGCCAAATTCTACATATGTGAGGTAGAGAATTACTTCACTTCGTCTATCTATGGTGAAAATATAGTTGTAAGCAAAACAAAATGTTAAAAACATATTTACCAAAGGAATTAAAGAGATTATCCGGTACTTTTGTACACTTTTTATCCAGAAGTTCTGAAAGTAGCCCTCAAGAGCCAAAAGTGGTCCCCGATAATTGCGTACTACATCACATATGTGCATATATAGGTCACCATGTCATTGCTTTCCTTCTCTCTCGCTCTGCTGTGAGTGCATCTTGCTAGCTGTTTGAGTAATGGTAGGGGGACTGAAGCTCATTGGCTAAACTCGAATTGCTAGCTGGCTGGCACACGTAGGGAGAAACGTAGGTAAAATGCTTCCATAAAAACAGTCACTTTCAAACTAGGGATTTCGTGTCTAATTCAAGTAAGACAGTAATTCCGATCATAGATTTTGCATATATGAACTACAGATGGACACATCCAGCCCAAAGCGGGAGGTTTTTAAAAAGACTTAGTAGTCGCCAAAGGTCAGTAGCATGTCTTTAAGGAATGATCTATTCACTGACTACATGGGGAGCCAAATATTTATTGTACAAAAAATACAATTATGACAATTCAGGTAAAATGTTTATTTCCATTAAGGTAACATAATATATTATATACAGGAATAACATGTATGGTTACAGTATGGTTAGTGACTGGGGGAGAAGGCAAGCTGGATGAACAGAAGATATGAGACATATGTTGCATTCATGACAGATCGGAACTAGGAAACTCAGAAATGTACGACTTGGAACTCGTTGTAGAAAGATGATACCTGAGTTTCCCACTTGGAAAGTATAAAAATCAACCAATAGGAAGCTCTACGCAAATAACTTAATTTTAACTCAGAGGTTCCCAGTTTCTGACCTGTCATGAATGCAGTATTATTCTAATGTTTGGTAGGTTGGCATGATCATTATGACAGACAATTAATAGACAGTCCATAATCTAAGGAATACATTCTTATTCAACACAGTTAGATTTCCAACAGTTCATTTTTTCAATGTCCTTATTAATAAACAATTGATCACAAAAACATTTTATCTCAATGTCAAATAAAATAATAATAAACCAAGCTATCCTAAGATGAATGCACTAATAGTAAGTCGCTCTGGATAAAAGCATCTGGTAAATGACTAAAATGTCAAATAAAACATTTAAATAAATCAGTTCAGGAGATCCAGCCTGTGTTTGCGCTGGTGCAACTTCAAATGGTCCAGTCGTTTGAAGCGGAGTCCACACACAGCGCAGCAGTACGGTCTCTCCCCGGTGTGGATGCGCAGGTGCACTTTCAAAATGTCCGCCCGAGTGAAACTCTTGTCACACATAGTGCAGCGGTGGGGTTTCTCCTGCGTGTGAATGCGCTGATGCAGCTTGAGGTTCCAGAGCCGACTGAACTTGTTCCCACAGATGGAGCAGCAGTAGGGCTTGTCAGTCGTCTGGCTGCACTTGTGCCTCTTCAGGTCGGAGAAGGAGGTGAAGCCCTTGCCACAGTGGCTGCAGAGGTGGAGTCCCTCGGCCTGGTGGACACGCTGGTGGACCTTGAGGTTGCAGGCCTGGGTGAAGGTTTTACCACACTGGGTGCAGGAGTACGGAGGCCCAGACCCTGACCCTGTACTCGACCCTCTCCCTGTTTTGTGTGTTTGCTTGTGGGCCTTGAGGGAGCCAGAGTCTGGGAAGGTCATGGTGCACTGATTGCAGGCGTGACGTCTCCCCCCTCCTCCCCCTCTTCCTGTTAACTGCTCTTGTGAACGATCTCTGAGATTTAGAGAGTGTCCAAAGTTGTCAGCGGCACCATACAGGCTCTCTGTGTTGTTGTTGTGGGCTGAGCTTCCAGAGTGGATGGAGGTTAGCCCCCTGTGGTCAGCTCTGTTACCCGACTCTGGGACACCGTGTTCGGGGTACAAGACACTGGAGTCCTGCAGGTAACCCTCTTCGTTGATCAACAGGCAGTTCAGGTCTCCCACCTCCGGATGGGGAGACCGCGTTGGCGAGCCCACCCGCTCCCTCCGGCTCCGATGGGGGCCAGGCATGTGGGAGCGATGGTGATGGTCTCCCCCCTCAGACCCCCCCAGGTTCACCTGGAAGTGACTCACATAGGTCAGCGCCCCCAGACGAGACGGAGAACCAGGAAGCCTATCTAGCCCTTCCATGTCTAGAATATGGTCGCCACCACCATCACCGCCGTAACCAGACTTCTCAAAGCCGCCCCCCAGTTCCTCCATGCTGTAACGAGGGCGGTAGAGAGGGTCAGTGGGGTCCCCTGGGTCTCCCTCTGGGCCCGGTGGTTCAGGCCCCTGGTCTAGACCAGATCCCCAGTCATCCTGGCACTGCTGCAGCTCCTGCTCACTGAAACTCTTACTGGGCCCCTGAGACGTCCGAACCATCGGCCCCTGAAAACACACGGGACATGAGGCATTAGAATCATTCATATTTAAGACATTACAATTACTAGAAACTTTAGTAGAGTAACTGTAATGCTAAATGTGTATTTACAGTTTCCAGATGACTTGCCATGTGTAATAATGAATACATTTGGAATGACACAGCATACTATAAGTTACTCTTCTTATCATTCTCATAAACCTAAAGGTAGGCTATTAAAGGTAGGCTATTGTCTGTGTTTTGTTTGTTGTAAAATCCTCAACTCACCGTCCAGGCAGAACTCCCATCTCTCCTGTAGCTCAGTGTTGTGGAGAGCCTCCTCTTTCAGCAGACTGTCCAGCTTCTGACCTCCGACCTCTGTGGACTGGAAGAGGAAATGAATGAGTCAATTCGGACTAAATGATGGATAAACTTACAGTAACTGAATAGAGCTGACATGATGGTTCCCTATTCAGAACTCTCCTCAGGGACCCCAAGACATCTCACAATGTTGCTGTAGCCCTGAACTAGCATACCTTGATGATTCGTTGACAAGTTGAATCAGGTGTGCTAGTTCTGGAACAGTTCAAATATGAGGAGAGGTTTGAAAGAGGCTGCCCTATTCTTAGTGACAGACTATCTGTTCTAATATGTTCTTTCAAATATATTTCTAACTGAACGTTCTGTAACACTGCACCCTCCACAGGTGTTTAGTCCCTTAGATACCTCAGATGTTCTCCTAGGACTGGTGGCCTCTGCCTCCTCCAGATCATGGAAGGCTGTTTCCCCAGCCACGCCCCCACAGCTGCTCCACTCCTCCCCTGGTACTTTCTCCTGCTTCAGGCCACGCCCCGTCTCCGCACCTGGCCACAGGTAAACAAAAATAACATTTTATTTGAAGTTAAAGGAAAGGCTAAAGTAACATTGTGGATGATGGAGTCTCCTCACATCAGTGCAGATGAAGGAAAGGAAGCATCTTATTAAGATGACACCACCCATGACTTCAACTCTTTTCTTAAACCAATACTCATTGATCACCAACGTATGGAAGGTACACATTACAGCAGCCCCACATCAGAGTGATTCCTCCATATGGTCATTTCCATGTAAAAGGAACCATGAGCACCAATATGTGAAGTTAATAGGAGCATATCAAATTGGCTGTCAAATGAAAGGTAAGTCTATATTTTTAGGAATGCATAGATACATTTTTCAACCAAATTAGGCCTAAGTAATGGCTTTGATTTATGGTCAAAAAGGGGTCTTAGAAAACATTTAACAGAAAAAGTCTTATAAGGTATTAGAAACACATCAAAACATAATAAATGTTGAAGTAAAGACCCCTGCGAACTAATAAACACATATTTAGTTTTGGAGAAATTATTTGCCTTCTGTAAGAAACATTGCCTTGGCCTCCCGAGTGGCGCAGCGGTCTAAGGCACTGCATCGCAGTGCTTGAGGCGTCACTACAGATCCGAGTTCGATCCCGGGCTGTGTCGCAGCCGGCCGCGACCGGGAGACCCAAGAGGCGACGCACAATTGGCCCAGCGTCGTCCGGGTTAGGGGAGGGTTTGGCCGGCCGGGATGTCCTTGTCCCATCGCGCTCTAGCGACTCCTGTGGCGGGCCGGCCGGGCACATGCACGCCAGTTGTACGGTGTTTCCTAGGACACATTGGTGCGGCTGGCTTCCGGGTTAAGTGAGCAGTGTGTCAAGAAGCAGTGCGGCTTGGCAGGGTCGTGTTTCGGATGACGCATGGCTCTCGACCTTCACCTCTCCCGAGTCCGTACCGGAATTGCAGCGATGGGACAAGACTGTAACTATCAATTGGATAGCACGAAATTGGGGAGAAAAAGGGGTAACAATAATAATAATAATAATAATAATAATAATAAAATATAACATTGCTATGTAATTCAGTAACCAATAACCCATATATCTTTAAGATATTTTCTAATTTAATAAAATATAAAATATTACATTGCTTTGTAATTCAGTAACCAAAAACCCATATATCTTTAAGATATTTTCTAATTTCTGACAGAAGTAACAAGTAAAGGTAGACCTAGCAATTAGTTGTAGTGTTTTTACTGATATACATTTGTTTCTGAATTATTAAGTGATTAAAACTCGTAATTCTGTTACCAAATCAGTATCAGAATTACTTATACTCCAATTGAATTGGCTACATTGTGAAATCATAATAGTCACAAACCACAGTTGGGTCACCTGCTACTGTCCTCCCTTCCACTGGCATACTGTTATGTTCAGCTCATAGGGTCTCCTGCTACTGTCCTCCCTTCCACACTGTTATGTTCCGCTCATAGGGTCTCCTGTTACTGTCCTCCTTCCACTGGCATACTGTTATGTTCAGCTCATAGGGTCTCCTGTTACTGTCCTCCTTCCACTGGCATACTGTTATGTTCAGCTCATAGGGTCTCCTGTTACTGTCCTCCCTTCCATACTGTTATGTTCAGCTCATAGGGTCTCCCGTTACTGTCCTCCTTCCACTGGCATACTGTTATGTTCAGCTCATAGGGTCTCCTGTTACTGTCCTCCCTTCCATACTGTTATGTTCAGCTCATAGGGTCTCCTGTTACTGTCCTCCTTCCATACTGTTATGTTCAGCTCATAGGGTCTCCTGTTACTGTCCTCCCTTCCATACTGTTATGTTCAGCTCATAGGGTCTCCTGCTACTGTCCTCCTTCCATGCTGTTATGTTCAGCTCATAGGGTCTCCTGCTACTGTCCTCCCTTCCATACTGTTATGTTCAGCTCATAGGGTCTCCTGTTACTGTCCTCCCCTCCATACTGTTATGTTCAGCTCATAGGGTCTCCTGTTACTGTCCTCCTTCCATACTGTTATGTTCAGCTCATAGGGTCTCCTGTTACTGTCCTCCCTTCCATACTGTTATGTTCAGCTCATAGGGTCTCCTGCTACTGTCCTCCCTTCCATACTGTTATATTCAGCTCATAACTGTTTTCTTTCTTTCTGTCATCTGGTGGTCAAAGTGAGTGTGAAAACAGTCTGGACAATCTCTCTCTCTCTCGTTAATGTCACCTCTCCCAGCTCTTACTGACACCTACCCATGAGCCTCCTCTCTTTCCATTTACTGTAACCAGCATCCTCACCCACTGAGCAGCGACCGACACCGGACGTCCATGAATGTTGAAAAGTAGTTGATATATTTGGTCAGTCCACCCTGGCCTTGATTTCAACATCTACAGCCTTGATTTGGCCCTAACATAGACATCCATGATTGGTGGCCGGACCAAATCATAGACGTCTATGTTTCACAAGTTTGTACAGTAGTAGAGTACAGTACAGTAAAGAAGAGTATAGTTCAGTAGAGCAGACTAGAGTAGTATACTGTACTCTACTGTGCTGTAATGTGATGTCCAAACTTGTGAAACACAGACGTCTATGATTGGTTCAGAATTGGTCCGGTCCGGACCAACCAAATGTGGTTTTGTTTTGGGGTGGAGCTCATTAGAATAATAGCCAGTGTGTAGAATAATACCATATATATATATACACACACAATGGATGATATTGTATATGTCTACCTTTGTGTTCCTATTCAGGATACATCCCCATGAAGAGCATGACTTTCATATCCATCATTATGTAGTTCAGATCAGCGACCCATTATGTAATTCCGTTACCGTAATTCTGTTATCGGGTGTAAATCCATTTAACTTACTGTAGTTCAATAACCAATATATACTGTATACAGTGCCTTCAGAAAGTATTTACACCCCTTGACTTTGTCCACATTTTGTTGTGTTGTAGCCTGAACAGATTAAATATAGTTTTTTTTGTCACTGGCCTACACACAATACCCCATAATGTTAAAGTGAAATTATGTTTTTCGAAATGTTTACAAATTAATACAAAATGAAACGCTGAAATGTCTTGAGTCAATAAGTATTCAACCCTTTCGCCTAAATAAGTTCTGGAGTACAAATGTGCTTAACAAGTCACATAATAAGTTGCATGGACTCACTCTGCGTGCAATAATAGTGTTAACATTCTTTTTTAAATGACTACCTCCTCTCCATACCCCACACATAAAATTATCTGTACGATCCCTCAGTCGAGCAGTGAATTTCAAACACAGATTCAACCACAAAGACCAGGGAGGTTTTCCAATGCCTCACAAAGAAGGGCACCTATTGATAGATGGGTAAAAAATAAACAAAGCAGACATTGAATATCCCGTGGAGCATGGTGAAGTAATTAATTACACTTTGGATTACACATGTGTCCTTCCTAACCTAGTTGCCTGAGAGGAAGGAAACCGCTCAGGGAATTCACCATGAGGCCAATGGTGACTTTAAAACAGTTACAGAGTGTAATGGCTGTGTTAGGAGAAAACTGAGGATGGATCAAGAACATTGGGGTTACTCCACAATACTAACCTAATTGACAGAGTGAAAAGAAGGAAGCCTGTACAGAATACAAATATTCTAAAACACGCATCCTGTTTGCAACAAGACACTGTACAGAATAAATATATTCCAAAACATGCATCCTGTTTGCAACAAGGCATTAAAGTAATGCTGCAAAAGAAATTGGCAAAGCAATTCACTTTTTGTCCTGAATACAAAGTGTTATGTTTGTGGCAAATCCAATACAACACATTACTGAGTACCACTCTCCATATTTTCAAGCATAGTGGCATCATGCTATGGGTATACTTGTAATTGTTAAGGACTGGGGAGTTTTTCAGGATAAAAACTAAACAGAGCTAAGCAAAGGCAAAATCCTAGAAGAAAATCTGGTTCAGTCTGCTTTCCACCAGACACTGGGAGATGAATTCACCTTTCATTAGGACAATAACCTAAAACACAAGGCCAAATAAACACTGGAGTTTATTTGGCTCTTATTTGGCTTCTTGTTTACCAAGAAGACAGTGAATGTCCCTGTGGCCGAGTTACAGTTTTGATTTAAATCTACTTGAAAATCTATGGCAACACCTGAAAATGATTGTCTAGCAATGATCAACAACCAATTTGACAGAGCTTGAAGTACCATTTTAAATAATAACGGGCAAATGTTGCACAATCCAGGTGTGGAAAGCTCTTAGAGGCTTACCCAGAAAGACTCACAGCTGTAATCGCTGCCAAAGGTGCTTCTACAAAGTATTGACTCAGGGGTGTGACTGCTTATGTAAATTTGATATTTCTGTATTTGCAACCATTTTGTCATTCTGGGGTATTGTGTGTAGATGGGTGAGAAAAATATCAATTTAATCAATTTTGATTAATTCAGGCTGTAACACAGCAAAATGTGGAATCAGTCAAGGTCTATGAATATTTCCTGAAGGCACTGTCTTGAGATTTCTCTCTCGCTTCACCTGTCTGTGAGGTTCCAGAGCTTCTCTCCTCGGCTTCTTCGTCAGTTCTCCCACAGTCCGCACACTTCCCCGTACGGCCTCCCTCTCTGTCCCTCTCCCTGCGTCTGTTCTCCGACCACAGCAGCCGCTTCTTCAGTGACTCGACCTGCTCCCGGCTACGGGACACCTCCTTCAGGAAGCTATCCTCCACCAGCCTGGTGATCTCGTACATGGCAGCCTTGAATACCGTCTCCATGACTCCGGAGAGCTGAGACTGGAAGGTTACGATGGCTTCAGACATCATGGCAAACTGTCTATGAGTAGCTAGCTACAGTTAAGAGTTCGTAACGTGTAGCTACTTTTGTTTAAGTGGGTCAGTGTTACGATCCAGTCTTGCAAAAGGCTAGGAACAGTTAGCTAACGTTAGCAGGCTAGCAAAGCTAGCTGCTGTTGGAAGTTGTCTCTCTCGATGACGGTCGTAATAACACTTGTAATCATTTCGAGATTTAAATTGTAGCATTTACTGTATATGAGGCTATTCGAATAAATATAAATGCCAGAGGTATTGAGAGAAAGCAAGGTTGGGGTAGTTAGCTAACTAGCTAAAGAGCCAACACAAAAAGCACCCACAAAATCAATAGGACTTCCGGAAACAAACCTACGGATCAGGTAGTGGGACAATCTACATTGGAACGCTCCTTACTGGAGAGAAAATATGACATTTATTATAACAAAACCTTTGTATGTTCTCACGTTTACTGTAAATAAGGTTCAAAATATAATTAGGCGATTATTATAAAATTCGGATACTGATTAGTAGACTATTTATTGTGTAAATTATTTACAGGAAATCTACACGGAAGCGATTTATCCCGCCCACTAGACCGTGCGTTATCTGGAAAAAACGACCAAACACCATGCTCATCAAGTGATTTCAGCCTTTCGGTAATAACGATTTTAATCAATAATACCTTATGTTGCAAAATATCCCTTTATTGACTAGTAACACGGCTAGTAGTAGCATGTTAGCTAGCTAGCTATTTTTCTTGAGCAAGCTGGATACAACCCCAGCTTGGTGTGACAACTGTTACCTTGTGAACCTTGCAATTTGACCATTTTATTGAACCTTTGTTGCACTCTTCTACGCTGGACTGTCTTCGCCACTTGGTTGTTAGCTAGCTGGGAGGAGCTGTCACTCTTATTGGACAGAGAAACAAATCAGCGATGTGTCAGTGATGGACATGGCATATTTCTACCCACTGTGAATAATAGGGCTCTCTGAAGAGATTCACTTTAGGATCACACACAAACACAGTCCTGACTTGCTCCCACGAGCACAGATGCTTGATGCAGATCCCACTGTGAAATGATCTGTGAAAAAGACACACACGCAAGCAGTATGTCGGAGACCCTTGTCCTCACATTCCGGACCCAGCTCTCGGGAGTCATGGAGACGGTCCTGAAGTCAGCCATATACGAGATCACCAGGCTGGTGGAGGACGGCTTCCTGGAGGAGGTGTCCCGGAGCCGAGAGCAGGTCGAGTCGCTGAAGAAGAGGCTGCAGTGGTCGGAGAACAGACGAAGGGAGACGGACAGAGAGGGAGACCGGAGGGGGAAATGTGCAGACTGTGGGAGAGCTGATGAGGAAGGTGAAGAGAGAAGCTCTGGAACCTCACAGACAGGTGAGGAGAGAGAGAGAGACATCTAAAGACAATATGGAGGAATCACTCTGAAGTGTGGCTGATGTAATGTGTACCTTCCATACTTTGGTGATCAGACAGTATTGGTTTAAGAAAGGAGTTATGGGTGGTATCTCAATAAGTGGCCTCCTTTCCTTCATCTGCACTGATGCAGGAGACTCCATTATCCACAATGTTATTTTAGCCATTTCTTTTACTTCAAATAAAATATTATCTTTGTTTACCTGTGGCTAGGTGCGGAGAGAGGGCGTGGCCTGAAGCAGGAGAAGGTACCAGGGGAGGAGTGGAGCAGCTGTGGGGGCGTGGCCGGCGAAACAGCCTTCCATGATCTGGAGGAGGCAGAGGCCACAAGTCCTAGGAGAACATCTGAGGTATCTAGGGGACTAAACACCTGTGAAGGGTGGAGGGTGCAGTATTACAGAACGTTCAGGTATAAATATATTTGAAAGAATATATTAGAACAGATAGTCTGTCAGGAAGAATAGGGCAGACTCTTTCAAACCTCTCCTCATATTTGAACCGTTCCAGAACTAGCTCACCTGATTCAACTTGTCAACGAATCAACAAGCCCTTCACTACTTGAATCATGTATGCTAGTTCAGGGCTATGACAAAGTTGTGAGATGTCTTGGGGTCCCAGAGGAGAGTTCTGAATAGAGAACCATCATGTCTGCTCTATTCAGTTACTGTAAGTTTATCCATCGGTTCGTCAGAATCGACTCATTCATTTGCTCTTCCAGTCCACAGAGGTCGCAGGTCAGAAGCTGGACAGCCTGCTGAAAGAGGAGCCTCTCCACAACACTGAGCTACAGGAGAGATGGGGTGTCTGCCTGGATGGTGAGTTGAGGAGTTTACAACAAACAAAACACAGACAATAGCCTACCTTTAATAGCCTACCTTTAGGTTTATGAGAATGATAAGAAGAGTAACTTATAGTATGCTGTGTCATTCCAAATGTATTCATTATTACACATGGCAAGTCATCTGGAAACTGTAAATACACATTTAGCATTACAGTTACTCTACTAAAGTTTCTAGTAATTCTAATGTCTTAAATATGAATGCTTCTAATGCCTCATGTCCCCTGTGTTTTCAGGGGCCAATGGTTCGGACGTCTCAGGGCCCAGTAAGAGTTTCAGTGAGCAGGAGCTGCAGCAGTGCCAGGATGACTGGGGACCTGGTCTAGACCAGGGGCCTGAACCACCGGGCCCAGAGGGAGACCCAGGGGACCCCACTGACCCTCTCTACCGCCCTCGTTACAGCATGGAGGAACTGGGGGGCGGCTTTGAGAAGTCTGGTTACGGCGGTGGTGGTGATGGAGGCCATCGTCTAGACTTGGAAGGGCTGGATAGGCTTCCTGGTTCTCCGTCTCGTCTGGGGAGGCTGAGCTATGGAGCAGTGGGTCACTACCAGGTGAACCTAGGGGGGTCTGAGGGGGGAGACCATCACCATCGCTCCCACATGCCTGGCCCCGATCGGAGCCGGAGGGACCGTGTGGGGTCCCCAACGCGGTCCCCCCACCCGGAGGTGGGAGACCTGAACTGCCTGTTGATCAACGAGGAGGGGTACCTGCAGGACTCCAGTGTCTTGTCCCCCGAACATGGTGTCCCAGAGTCGGGTAACAGAGCCGGCCACAGGGGTCTAACCTCCATCCACTCTGGAAGCTCAGCCCACAACAACAACACAGAGAGCCTGTATGGTGCCGCTGACGACTTTGGACACTCTCTAAACCTCAGAGATCGTTCACAAGAGCAATTAACAGGAGGTGGAGGAGGGGGGAAGCGTCACGCCTGTAATCAGTGCACCTTGACCTTCCCAGACTCTGGCTCCCTCGAGGCCCACAAGCAAACACACAAAACTGGTAGAGGGTCTGGGCCTCCATACTCCTGCACCCAGTGTGGTAAAACCTTCATCCAGGCCTGCAACCTCAAGGTCCACCAGCGTGTCCACCAGGCCGAGGGACTCCACCTCTGCAGACACTGTGGCAAGGGCTTCACCTCCTTCTCCGACCTGAAGATGCACAAATGCAGCCAGACGACAGACAAGCCCTACTGCTGCTCCATCTGTGGGAACAAATTCAGTCGGCTCTGGAACCTCAAGCTGCACAGGCGCATTCACACGCAGGAGAAACCCCACCGCTGCACTATGTGTGACAAGAGCTTCGCTCGGGCGGACAATTTGAAGGTGCACCAGCGCACCCACACTGGGGAGAGACCGTACTGCTGTGCTGTGTGTGGACTCAGCTTCAAACAACTGAACCATCTGAAGTGGCACCATCGCAAACATAGGGTGGATCTCCTGGCCTGAGCAGTGGTCTAGAAAACTATTTTTTTGATAAATTGTTCATTAATAAGGACACTGAAAATATGAACTGTTGGAAATCTATCAATGTGTTGAATAAGAATTAATGTCTTACATTATGGACTGTCTATGAATTGTCTGTCATAATGATCATCCCAACCTACCAAACATTTGAATGATGGGGCATTCATGTGCTCTTTGGAAGTCGGAAGTCTGACATGATTGTGTTCAAGTGGATTTGAAGTCGGACCAATTCTTTAACCAATTATATTTTTGTTAGCTTGATTGCCTGCTAATGATGCTAATAATAAAGTTAGCTAGTTTTCTTAACATTGACAATATGGTCAAACTAGCTAGATTATCCACATTGATAAGTTTGTAATTGTCAAAAAATGATTTGTTGTCATGTTTTGGTTGAAAGGGTGAAAGGTCAGTGGTGAAACGTCACACCTCGGCAACAACAAAAAAATCAATTTCCCACTTCTAATAAGGATTTAGAGAGTTGTTCAAGTGAAAATTCCCAGTCCAGCATAGATTTTTACATACAAATAAAACAAAATAAAACACATTTTAAAGCAACTAGTTTAAACCCGCAGAACATAAAAACCAAGACGTGAGACGTGAACACAGTACACCTACATTTAAACTTGTTTTTAGGCTTCTAATTTTCCTAATAAATATAATTAAAAACAAATTACGACAAATAACCAGAATGTATGTTTTAAATACAATTATTCAAGTCTCAATTCAAATTCCCTTTGCTCAGGAATGCCAAGGTAACCTGTCTAAATGACTATCGCCCTGTAGTACTCACATCTGTAGCCATAAAATGCTTTGAAAGGCTGGTCATGGTTCACATCAACACCATCATCCCAGACACCCTGGACCCACTCCAATTCGCATACAGCCCCAACAGATCCACAGATGATGCAATCTCTATTGCACTCCACACTGTGCTTTCACTCTTGGAGGAAAGGAACACCTACAGTACATGAGAATGCTGTTCATGGGCTACAGCTCAGCTTTCAACACCATAGTGCCCTCCATGCTCATCACTAAGCTAAGGACCCTGGGACTGAACCATGGACTGAACACCTCCCTCTGCAACTAGATCCTAGACTTCGTCACGGGACACCCCCAGGTGGTGAGGGTAGGCAACAACACATCCTCCACGCTGACTTTCAACACAGGGGCCCCTCAGGGGTGCGTGCTTAGTTCCCTCCTTTACTCCCTGTTCACCCAAGATGTGTGGCCTCACACGACTCCAACACCATCATTAACTTTGCTGACGACACAACGGTTGTAGGCCTGATCAGCTTATAGGGAGGAGGTCAGAGACCTGGCAGTGTGGTGCCAGGACAACAACCTCTCCCTCAACTTGGGCAAGACAAAGGAGCTGATTGTAGACTACAGGAAACGGAGGGCCGAGCACGCCCCCATTCACATTGATGGGGCTGTAGTGGAGCGGGTCGAGAGCTTCAAGTTCCTCGGTGTCCACATCACTAAGGATCTATCATGGTCCAAACACACCAACACAATCAACACAAAAAGTTCTACAGCTGCACCATTGAGAGCATCTTGACTGGCTGCATCACCGCTTGGTATGGCAACTGATTTGTAATCCAACCGCAAGGCGCTACAGAGGGTAGTGCGGATGGCCCAGTACATCACTGGGGCAGAGCTCCCTGACATCCAGGACCTCTATACCAGGCGGTGTCAGAGAAAGGCCCTAAACATTGTCAAAGACTCCAGCCACCCAAGCGTGGCAAGCGGTACCGATGCATCAAGTCTGGAACCAACAGGACCCTGAACAGCTTCTACCCCCAAGCCATAGGATTGTTAAATAGTTAGTGCGGGTAGCTATTTGGTTAACTATTTAACTATCTACATTGACCCTTTTTGCACTAACTTTTTTTACTGATCACATATGCTGCTGCTACGGTTTACCATCTGTCACTTTATTCCTAGTTATATGTACATATCTACCTCAATTATCTCGTACCCCTGCACTTCAACTCGGTACTGGTACCCCATGTATATAGCCAAGTTATCATTACTCATTGTGTATTTATTATTACTTTTATTAATATGTGTTTTACTTTTCTATTATTTCTCTATTTTCTTTCTCTCTGTGTTGTTGGGAACGGCCCATAAGTCAGCATTTCACTGTTAGTCTACACCTTTTGTTTACGAAGCATGTGACGAATAAAATTTGATTTGATTATGAATTCAACATTTTTCTTGTCTTTTCTTTTTTACACTTTGCTACATCATTCTCTCGCAGCATAATTCTTCCAAACAACAAAAGCGAATCCAAATGTTTACACAACAAAAGCTTAACATTTTAGTCATTTTGAAGCTCTTATCCAGAGTGACTTACAGGAGCAATTAGGGTTAAGTGTCTTGCTCAAGGGCACAGACAGACTTTTCACCTAGTCAGCTCTGGGATTCGAACCAGCAACCTTTCAGTTACTGGCCCAATGCGTTTAACTGTATGAACACAAACTCACTTCCTTGACGGGCAGCTCTGCTCTGCCAAGCGCAAGAAGTGTGAATGCCCTGACTTCTACAGAGGTCATATCGCAGTAAATGCTGTATGGCCACTGCAGACGTCTGATTGACCATACAGAGCCCTTAAGGAGCTTGATTTGGCCTCCACATATCTCCAGATCGCATTTTCGGATCAAGCATACATCAGCTTTAGGGTTGGCTAATGCTAATAAGCTATCGTTAGCGCTCAGCATCCTTAAGCTATTGGGTGTCAGTCAGAGTTATTTAACAGTATATTTAGTGAATGGGCAAGCTAAATATGTTGATATAAGTCATGATATTAGGAAAAGTGTGTATTTCCAGCTAGTGTATTTTATGGGTTTTGTTTCTGTAGCTAGTTTGGCTGGCTAGTTCGGGAGCTACTGGCTGGCTAGCTAGCTGAGACCGAGGAAGAGAACGTTTTTCTGACTGAAGCACATATCTTCTGACAGTGACACAGTGCCCCCCTGTGGACTGAAGCTGAACCTTACTACAACATACAGTATTTAACCCCTGTTTAAAATTAGCAATGTTGAGGTGGTATAACTGACTAAATGAAATGAATCAGTCTTATAACCTGTTCCATTCTACAAGCAAACATGATTGGCTCATGTCTGTTATTTTCATATATTCCATATGTAAAAAAAAAAAAAAAAACTTGTGAGATTATTTTATTGAGCTTTTATTTGTATTACAATTTTTATTCAATTAGCTACATACTTGTTCTTTTGTTGTTGCATTGTCGAGAGGTTAACCTGCAAGTAAGCATTTCATTGCACTGTGTACTCCATGTGTACAGTGGGGAAAACAAGTATTTAGTCAGCCACCAATTGTGCAAGTTCTCCCACTTAAAAAGATGAGAGAGGCCTGTAATTTTCATCATAGGTACACGTCAACTATGACAGACAAATTGAGAAGAAAAAAATCCAGAAAATCACATTGTAGGATTTTTTATGAATTTATTTGCAAATTATGGTGGAAAATAAGTATTTGGTCACCTACAAACAAGCAAGATTTCTGGCTCTCACAGACCTGTAACTTCTTCTTTAAGAGGCTCCTCTGTCCTCCACTCGTTACCTATATTAATGGCACCTGTTTGAACTTGTTATCAGTATAAAAGACACCTGTCCACAACCTCAAACAGTCACACTCCAAACTCCACTATGGCCAAGACCAAAGAGCTGTCAAAGGACAGCAGAAACAAAATTGTAGACCTGCACCAGGCTGGGAAGACTGAATCTGCAATAGGTAAGCAGCTTGGTTTGAAGAAATCAACTGTGGGAACAATTATTAGGAAATGGAAGACATTCAAGACCACTGATAATCTCCCTCGATCTGGGGCTCCACGCAAGATCTCACCCCGTGGGGTCAAAATGATCACAAGAACGGTGAGCAAAAATCCCAGAACCACACGGGGGGACCTAGTGAATGACCTGCAGAGAGCTGGGACCAAAGTAACAAAGCCTACCATCAGTAACACACTACGCCGCCAGGGACTCAAATCCTGCAGTGCCAGACATGTCCCCCTGCTTAAGCCAGTACATGTCCAGGCCCGTCTGAAGTTTGCTAGAGTGCATTTAGATGATCCAGAAGAGGATTGGGAGAATGTCATATGGTCTCTCCCGAGTGGCGCAGTGGTCTAAGGCACTGCATCGCAGTGCTAGCTGTGCCACTAGAGATCCTGGTTCAAATCCAGGCTCTGTCGTAGCCGGCCGCAACCGGGAGACCCATGGGGCGGCGCACAATTCGTCCAGGGTAGGGGAGGGAATGGCCGGCAGGGGATGTAGCTCAGTTGGTAGAGCATGGCGTTTGCAACGCCAGGGTTGTGGGTTCGATAAAATAATGTATGTGCTAACTGTAAGTCGCTCTGGATAAGAGCGTCTGCTAAATGACTAAAATGTAATGTAAATGTCAGATAAACCAAAATAGAACTTTTTTGGTAAAAAATCAACTTGTCGTGTTTGGAGGACAAAGAATGCTGAGTTGCATCCAAAGAACACCATACCTACTGTGAAGCATGGGGGTGGAAACATCATGCTTTGGGGCTGTTTTTCTGCAAAGGGACCAGGACGACTGATCCGTGTAAAGGAAAGAATGAATGGGGCCATGTATCGTGAGATTTTGAGTGAAAACCTCCTTCCATCAGCAAGGGCATTGAAGATGAAACGTGGCTGGGTCTTTCAGCATGACAATGATCCCAAACACACCTTCCGGGCAACGAAGGAGTGGCTTCGTAAGAAGCATTTCAAGGTCCTGGAGTGGCCTAGCCAGTCTCCAGATCTCAACCCCATAGAAAATCTTTGGAGGGAGTTGAAAGTCTGTGTTGCCCAGCGACAGCCCCAAAACATCACTGCTCTACAGGAGATCTGCAGGGAGGAATGGGCCAAAATACTAGCAACAGTGTGTGAAAACCTTGTGAAGACTTACAGAAAACATTTGACCTGTGTCATTGCCAACAAAGGTTATATAACAAAGTATTGAGAAACTTTTGTTATTGACCAAATACTTATTTTCCACCATAATTTGCAAATCAATTCATA